AAATACACAAAAATCGCGTGCAGACTGCTGGTTGACTGAAGAGTAATAATTTTGACATTTCAAATCAGCTGTTTGGTACTAACAAAAATAGAGTTGCCAAATTTTGGCTCTTTTGTTTATTTTTTGGTAACACTAACACAATCACTACACAGAAACAAATATTAGTACCGTTTCACTTCAAAAATATATTTTTAAAAATTCGAATAATCTTTAAAAAGATTTGTAAATTGAATTTAAAGAAAAAACTTTAAATCAAATTTGTGAAAGTATTTTTTAGCAAAATGTAATGGAAATCTAAGAAAAAATTGTTAGTAAAAAATCAAAATTTAGTAAAATAATAATAAATAAATAAATTTAATAAAAATTCGAAATCAAACCAAAAATGAAATTTGGTAATTTTATTGACTATTGTTTTATTATTGTAAAATGTTGTAAAGAAATTCTAAAAATTAGAAATTTTGGATGAATACTTGTCCGCTGTTCGTTGAATTCTGAGTCATTTTAAGGCGAGGAACAGATTGCTGTGTGGGGCGTTCACAATTCAGTTCTTCATATCGCTCATTTACAAAAAATCTGATATATGTATATATAACTACAGAATATGAGCCTATTATATATATATATATATATATATATATATATATATATATATATATATGTATTTATTATTATTTTGAATTTGACCCTTAAAACGAAACGTTGAACTATACTTCATGTGTCACATATTTGTGATTAGTAAATATTCTTATTTAAATTCAGATATGAAACGTCTCAAGCTATTAGTGTTCAGTTAAAAAATAGGTAAAACCTTAAATAATAATAATAAAAGCGAAAAAACGCATTTGTTTATATAAATTCTGTAATTCCACATTATTAATCAATTTTACAAACATATGGCTTCCGTTCTGATAGTTTAAAATTAAAATTTAAATTCCATTTTGCGGGCAATTTAGTATTTATACGTTTGTATAATTGCGGTTAAAGACTTGTCTTATTTGAAGTAGGTTTATAAATAATTAAACAAATTATGATTTATTTTAGTATATAAAGCTTATTTACTCAAAGGCTGTCATAACTCAATAAATAAAGTTTCGAGAAAAGCGACTTTAATAGGGTTATTTTACAAATCACTTCACAAAATTTTGTATATATTTGTGTGAAATATTTTCAACATAAGGTGAAGTGTTTTACAAATTGTTAACAAATCCTGGGATTTTAAATAATAAAATAGTAATATATTTAGTAGAGATATTTATCTTATCTGACTTAATATTATATATGTGCTAATCAAATATAGGTAAACGCATCGTTTTAAAAAAATCTCTTTTTTAAACGACAATTTTTTAGTGTTCAGTTCAAAAATGTGAATTTTGAGTTAAGCCAGTTTTCAAGCAAATGAGTAATATTTTATTAATGAATTTTACGCAAATTTTACGTGAAATACCTATGAAGTGTAAACATTTTTGTGGTCAGTATTTAAGATACATTTACTATTCTTTAAATAATTTTTACAAAAATCATGGGTTTGTGATTATTTTTCTTATAGTAAAATAAACGTTAAAAAATAGTGCCTCTAATTAATAAATATTCATAGCTATAATGAAAAGAAAACCGATTTTGTAATATTTTTATATGAACAATACACACATTTAAAAAAATATAAATTTGTTTATATTATAATATTTTTTTTAAACTGCATGTAACACAAAATTAAGATATATATAATGTTAATGCTAAAAATTGTACTATTTTTTCATGATCGATATAATCTCTACAATAATTTAATATTTTCAAGCAATTTGAATTTAATAATCTATATTTTTATATATTCTTGAGCTTTACGCAATTTTTAATAGTTAAATTACGATTCACCTATGCTTAAGAAAAGTGATCTTCCGACTCGTTAATTCATAAGGAAATAAGCACAAAATTTATTTCTTGAATCATCGCAGTTTTTTGTAAATTGTGCTTTTTTATTAAATAATAAATAGTCCCTTCATGTGCCACTTTTAAAATTTGTTAAGGGGAACTTCGTATTATTTCATAGTATTTGAAAAAATCAAATACTTAATTTACATGTAGTTCTGATAAAAAAAATAGTTTACATTAAATATGTACACAATATATAAGTTTGACTAAAATTGTTTAATATTTTTGAAAACAATATTATAATATTATGGTAAAAAATGTTTTAAAATTTTTATAGAGGGTCTTATCATTTTTCGGATTATTAAGATTAAGTAGCTAAGGGATTTTTTTAAGGTGATTTTTTGTTACAAAAACAAATTTTATTTAAATTTAGTAGTTGCAAATAAATGTCAATGTGTTAATGAGTTTATTTGGGTTTTAATATAAAATTACGTTCCCTCAATATTTTCATTTTGCTGACAATTGGAAAAAACTTTTAATACCAATTTTCAGATGTTGATTCTTTCACAATTACCATCATATGTATGTATGACTTTTTAACTAAAACGAAATTCCATATTACTAAGAAAAATACCCATAAGAATCATCAAGCATCACACCACGTAATTCCACACATTTTGTCAACACAAGATAAATATGGATGGAATAACAAAACAGAAAGAGCCACTTCAGAAAAGAATAACCCGCTAATATTTCCGCATGTAAAACCCAAAAGACAATAATGACAATAACATACTACAAACAAAATTATGCACTCATATGTTAATATCTATACATATCTTATCTATCGATTGATCGCAAGAAAAATTCCTTTTCTTAGATGGCGCTATAAACGAGATAAAATCACAGCTGGAGCTGAAGAAACGAATGCACGCGAAATATGAGTCAATATTAAAATAAACACATGATTAGATACTCGTACCTATAGTCTCAAGTCTACATAAATTTATCATCATAAATGATTTATCTCAAAATAGGATCACGATCGCTTTATATATTTATCTGAAGATAAAAGGAGAATGTTTTCAAATGACAGCAGGTAGCAAAGGAGTATATTATCTTCTCTCAGTTTACATTTTTGTCTCTGTTTCTCTCAGTGAAAAAGGATGTTTATTATCCTTTGGATATATTGATATGTATTTCTCTTCTTGTTGAATGCTCTCTTGCATGAATATTTTCTTCATTTACCGGGATTTTCCCAATGATAAGAACTTTCATACAACATTCTGTCGAAATCTAGCAGTGCGCTATGAAATCAAAAGATTTTTAGTATTACTTCAACATTCAAAAAATACACACTCAATACATCTACACATAGAATTGATTTATAAACGTGTGAATCATTCAATATTTGTTTTGTTTCTAAAATAAGCATAAAAACTGTAAGTTTCTGGCTTAAATTCTTACTTAATTTTGTTTTAATTAGTTGTAAATAAAATTCTGCTTATTATTACTCGACAATTGTGATGATGATGATGGTTATTAAGTCAAACAAGTGATAGTTTATTAAAGAAAACATTTAAATAAAAATCTGTTTAAATATTGTAGTACATTTATACCAAAAAACATTTTATAAAAAAAACTTTTAAATACTTTTAAAGAAATTAAAAATGTAGTCAACTTTATATTGAACATTTTTTTAGCCGTGTTTTTCTTAATGTGTATCTAGGGATGCATTAAAGCTTTTCAAATAAAAAGGGGATATCTTATTAAAACTCAAATATGTACATAATTATTAACAAATGTATTAGAAACGAAAGAAAAAAAGTATTACGTGCTTTAATTTGAAATTTAAGTAAAATACAACTCTGTTGAAAATAACGGTAATGTTGAAAAAGTGTTGACACTCAAAAGAAAATCACCACTGCAACTAATTAACCACACTGAGAAAAAGACAGAATAATTGTTGTATTGCAATTGGGAAATAGAATTAAATATTTTTTTACATAAATTTTATTAAAATTTATTCACTGTATTTCACTATTTTGTATTTTTAATTCTATTTTCGTTTTTTACACCACTTACCAATAATGGCATTAAATTTAAAAAAGCTTTTTTAGTACAACTTTTCACAGAACACAAAAAAATTCAGAAAAACTTTTTAGTTTAAAAAAAGCTTTCTACTATACTTTTGTTTAATCATGATACATATAGTTGGCAACGCCGACTAAATATAATAAAGAGGAGAAAATACGAAATAAAGAAGAAGCAACAAAATTAGTAATTATACGATAATATTAGTCTCAACGAGAAAGCGAACGATTTAAGACGTGTTCAACAGACAAAAAATCAATTCAATCGTTATTGAGATATTGTACAACAAAAAAGTAAAAAGCATTTGAGCGCTTATAAAAAAGCAAATGAGAAATATATAAAAATACCACAATTAAAACAAGCAATAAATATACTTGAAGAAAACTTCAAATAGAAAGCCATTAAAAAAGTAAAAGTGACATAAAACGTATTAATAAATAGTTTTCTTTACGCTAAAATAACCCGGCATCTGAAAAGGTATTAAATAAGTATTTTTAAAATAGATTTCAGAAAAGAAATAAAATTTCATAAACAAGTGGCCATTTTGATTAAATTAACATCTACACAAATATTGTGAAACGAATCAAAAAAAAAAAAAGAAGAATGTGTGAGAAAAAGCAAAACTTGTAAAAAATCGAAAAGCTACACTTAGCTTTCGTTATAAAATCTAGAATATTTTTTAATGCAAGTGAAATAACTCAAAAAAGCGTACAGAAAAAAACTACAAATATCAAGAAAAATTCCCAAAACTCGGTTAAATTTTTAAAAAATTACAAATTTAAACGAAACAAAAAATCATTACAAAATTACTAGTAGTTGACTAAAGAAAATATTCTTATTTTACGTATACACACTGCAAACAATAACAACAAGTGTCAATTTCCTATTTACGCATTTATATCAGTGTGTTAGAAAGAGAGGGGTAGAGAGCGTAAAGGAGAATGCAAGATTATGCAAAACGAAGTGTATAACAAATACATTAAAAAATGATATGTCGCGATAATATTAATTAACAAAGTAAAAATTAAAATACATACTCTGTTAAATATTTATATAAAGTTATCAACACTTTGTTTATCTTTTTTGTACACATTAAATAAATTAAATAAACTATTGAAAAGCACGCTCACACAGTAGTTAAAAAACACTTTAATTAGCTGACAAGTTTGACAAGTACTAAAAGTAAACTCTAAATGGGGGGACATTTTTCAGTGTTGCAATTTACAGCTACTCCTTTTTTGCACTCTCCCTCTTCTACTTTCTTTTGAAATACCACTCTAAATTTTTAATTTCCTTTTTCAACTATAAAAATAGCAGAACAGTGTATGTAAAAAGAAAACAATAAAACTGTAAGAAAAAAATTAATTGCTGCAAAATAATCTAAAAAAGCAAATCAAAATAGAAATAAAAATAAATTTAAAAACAATAAACATAATTCAGACAAAGCTACAAAATGTGGAATCCAACACCGTCATCATCAACAGCGACGTCAAGTGATAATAAGCAGAATATTAAGGAAGTAGTAGAAGTAGATGATTGTAAATGTAGTGGCGTAGAACAATTAGATCAACAACACCAGCAGCAACAACAAAAAAATAACAGTAAACAACAAACGTCAACAACATTTGGCGGTCAATTGACAGGCTCTACAAATATCCAACAACAACAACGTCATAATAGAGACGACTTGGACGTAGAAGAAGAAGGTGACGATAATAAGAAATTTTCAGATTTAGCTGGGGAAACTACAGATTCCGGCTTTATTTCGGGACCACAAACATCATCTTCGGCCCTTTTGGATACAGATAACGAAGAAGCTGGTGTTGCTCGTGGTGGTGGTGATATTAAAAAATTAAATATACCGGAATCTTTAAGTGAACCACAACAACAACAACATCCAACGCATAAAACGCAACAGCCCAATTTGGATTCGGGTATTATCGAGGAAGAGGAATACGACGACGGAGATTGTGATTCAGTTGGACAAAAGCAACAACAAAAAACTACAAACGAACCAAAAATGATTTTGCCTCATAGTGTTGAATCTGGCATATCCGAATGGTTCTGCAATTTAAGTTTGCACAATAATCCCAATGCTGCCAATAATGTTAATACCGCTTCAACTGCATCCAATTCTCGTACAAATGCCGTTTCTGGTTTAAATAATCTAGATGCCCCTAAACAAACGCGTTCGGCGCAGCAAACAAAATTATCTTCATCATCAGTATCGTCAACCTCATCTTCTTATGCAGCTGGTTCAACTGCTCAACAACAGTACCAACAACAACAAACCGCCACAATACCACAACAAATAACTCCAGCTAATGCCTGGGAGAAATACTATCAACAAAACGATGATGGAGATACGTAAGTTAAATTAAATATTTTATAAGTTAATTTTAATTGATTAGAATTCAAGTTTGTTATATTTTAAATATAGTCAGGGAGTTTAGTGGTTTGAGATATTAAAATTTAACTTTGCCGATCTTTCGTGGGAACAAGGAATGGAAATATTTTTCTTTTTTATTAAACGGGGAAAATAAACTAAAACTCTTTTAAATAGTTTACTTTTTTATTATCTTGCCATTTTCTGTATTTTTACCAAAAGGCTTGTCGCCTTAAAGTTTCCTTTAACGATTTCCATTAAACTCGAACGTGACCTTTCCTTACTTTTTTTGCAAATGGTTTATTTTTAAGTACCTGTTTTTAGTAGCTTAGTTTAATGAACAAAACACACGCTCATAAAACAACCTTTCTTTTTTTCCACAAACAATAACTCATCAGGGTAGATTATAAAACTGCAACTAAGTACAACTAAAAAGTTAGTGACAGACAGGTCATAATAAATATGTAGCCATAAATCACCTGTTACATTGTGGCTTTTGTTAAGTTCCGTAAAAATTCCCAAAACAAATTATTTCTTACAATTGAACAGGTTTTTGTGTTTTATTTTCAACCATTGAACTACGTGATCTTTTTCGTTTGTAACCAGGATTAAGAGGAAGTTATTGTATGTGTCTGTGTGTGTGTGTTTTAAGTAAATAATACAGGTGTTTTAGGCTAAAGGCAGGTGATAGTTTTAAACAGATTTATTTTAAGGATTTAAAACATGTACAAGATCTTTGTTTTATTTTCTTTTCTTTTGAATTTATATTTATGTTTATTTATTTAGACCTTTACATTTGGCCTGCATCTCGGGTTATGTAGATGTTGTTGCTGCCCTAATACGTATGGCTCCACATCCTTGCCTTTTTAATATACAAAATGATGAAGCCCAGACACCATTGCATTTGGCCACCTTAACAGCCCAACCAAAAATTATCAGAATGCTTTTAATAGCGGGAGCAGAGGTAAGTTAAAAATAACTTTTTCTTTTTTCTATAAAATTTACTTCTTCGGATAGTATAGGAATTGAAAGTTTAACAGACAAATGCAATTCTTTAAATTTTTCAAGAAATCTCCTTGGATTTTAAAAGTTTTAACACAAAATTCCTTTTCTTTTTTTTTCTATTCCCTTCAAAAGCCTACGGCGCGCGATCGTCATGGTAATACAGCTTTACATCTTGCCTGCAGATCTGGCGAAGAACAATGTGTACGCGCTTTAACTATACCCATTAGTGCCTCCGAAGTTAATGAAGCCCATCGTCAATATGGTCATCGTGCCAATGATAAATCCTATTTGAAATATGCCCAATTACCCTCCGATTTGGAAATACGCAATTATGATGGTAAGTTCTTAAATAAATTCCATTAAATTATATTAAAAATTCCTTTTCAAATTTAAAATTTAAACAAACAAAAATTGTTTTTACTTAAAAGATAACGTTGAACTAATTTTTATAAAAAAATTTAATGCTTTGTCTGTTAAATTTGCAAATGTATTGCTATACAGAGGCGTTCATTTCTTTTTCAGACGTCCCGTCTTGTTAATTATATTTATGTATATTTTGTCACTTATTTTTTTGTGCTTTTGGCTAGCCACAGTCATAGACATTTTTTTTTTTGCAAAAAAGAACAAAAAAAAAAAAATAAAATATATTTATCACACTTTCATGTGAAACATTTTGTTTTAAAAATAACAATTTTATAAGAATTTTCTTAAATGTGATTGTGAATTTGTTTTTGTTCTTTATTTAAGAATTTTCCGCTTAGCTGTCTGAGGTTTATTTTTTTTTCTTAATTTTATTCTTGAGAAAATTTATATTATTGTCTTTATGACTGACTATTTTTATATACTTTCTGTAGTATATACCCGTTAATAGGGGAATTCATTTGTTTAATTAATTGTGATTATTTATATTCTTTATATCTTGATGAAATGTTGAACAAAACTTACTTACTATATTATTACAAATATTAGGGATTTATAATTAGAAGGCTTTGTTTTCGTTTATTTAAACATTAAAAAAGTTTTTTAATTAATTTGAATCTCTCTAATGTTTTTTTGTTTAAATTAATGTATTCATATATTTTTGATTTAAAAATGAATTTGACGTCAGACTATAATGAAAAAATATACAAACATTAGACTAGTTAGATTAATACGAAGTATAATTTTTTTTCTTTTTCTCAAAGTTTTCTAAATTTTCAACAATTTTTCAATATATTTTCTTGAATTTTTTTTAACATTTGACGTCAGCCCACCATATGTGGCATTCACAACAACCTTAGTAAAATGTTTTAAACAAAAACTACTCAAGGCAAAAGAAAAATAGAAAGAAATTATAAATTTTATTTAAAAAAATCATTTTTGTTTAAACATCTTAAAAGAAACTAAATAATTTTTTTTTTGAATTCTTAAAATCTTAAACAATTTATAAAACTTATTTATTATACTAAAGATATTTTATAATTTATAATTTGTGGTTAAAAAGCTTTGGGAACTTTGCTATTATTATGACTAGGCATTTATTATAATGCTTCTTTGCTAAAATCCTTAATTACTCAGACATGTTATCAAAGCAAATGTTAAAAATGCAAAAAAAAATCCCCGATTCTTAAGAACTTTGAAAATCCTAAATAGGTTAAAAAACCAAATATTGTTTTAATTCTTAGAAATTCTATAAATAATAGAAATAACCCAAGAACTTAATAGTAATAAGTAAACTGAAACTAAAATAAATAAAACCCCTATTTATAACAAAAACAAAACTTGTAATAAATCTAACCAAACATTTTATGTTTTAAGTTTTGTTATAAATAAAAACTTGCTCTAAACTATGTTAAACCCCAAAAAATTAGGTAGCTTGCGTGTTTAAAAGGTTTATATTAAAGCTTAATAAAACTAAAATCTAATTTTGGAAACAAATAAAATTGTTTATATTGATTATTTTGGTTAAAGCAGCAACCAAACAACACCTTCCATTACTACAAATGCCAATAATAATTAACCTTCACTTGTAATTTAACCTTTGATGACAAAAAAAAACTTACAAAAAACTAAACACTCAAGGTAAATTTAATTTTACATAAATCCATATAAATTTATTAGAATTCCTGAAGTAAAAAAGTTCTTTTTAGATTAACTTTAAAACTAAGGTAGAAAAAAATGTATAAAATTCTGTGTAAAACTGCATTTTAACTTTGTATTCTTTTTTACAAAATTTTTTTTAAAAACCCTCCATATGCTTAGCCATAAACCAACAATTTCAAACACCATATTTTTGTTGTTTATTTATTTTTTACACCTCCCCATCACCGCACATACACTCACACACATTTTGCCCATATTGTCATTTTCATTTTCGTTTTTATTTATTTATATTTTTGCTATTGCTTGTTGTGTGCTTCTTTTTTTTCAACTTTGGTTGCTGGTGCTCTGGCTGCTACGGCTAAATATAAAAATATTTTGGGTTTTTCCCAAAAATAATACAAAAAATAAAAAGCAGAAACATTGAAATTGTGTTGATGGCGTTCAACATCAGCGCCGCCACCACCACCAACACCTCTTCCTACCACCAATCCATACTTATACTCATGCCCATCATTATCATCATCACAAGCACCACCATCATCATCATCGTCGTCGTTGTATAAAATAAAAAAAAAGCAGCAAAATCAACTTATAGCATTTTCGTAGCCGTCATAATATATGAATCAAATAAAAATGTGATTTTAGTATTAATAAAGTATAAATTTATAAATTATTATAAATTCATTTGTTACAAACAACCAACGTAAATTTGGTTGTTTGACGTAGTATCTACTATATTTGCTGCTCTTTGTATTTGTCTGTTTTATATGTCAAATATCTGAAAGTATCTGATCATTTTTTAAAAATATTTGACAAATGTTTGTGGCAAATTTGT